TCCTGCCGGATCATATAATGATCCGTTCTTGTCTAGTGTGATTCCTATGGTGACTCCGACATGGTGCCATAGGGCCAATTGAGGCAACCCCAGTTGGGGTCAATGTCGACTGACTTGAATTCCGAATTCACACATTTTAATTTAGTAATTCGTTTAAGTAAAGTGCAACAGCTGGCCTTGCGGTTATGCACCATTTTACGATGTCCCGCCGATCCTGCTGTCCCTTGAAAACCCTGGTGAAAAGTTGTCTTCTCTGAGTGAAGCCAATCGGAACAACCAGAAACTCCTTTTTTGTCACTGCTGCTTTTATACCTTTATTGCTGTTGGTTTATATGTCAATGACTCCTGTGATTTATACTGACGTGGCAAGGGGCTAAGCCAAGAACCCCAACAGAAGGCAACAGGCACATGCTTTCCAGGTGTGGTTTTTTCTCTTTTGATGGTTGTCTGGTGAGGTTAAACATTTTGTGCACCTAATTCGTTGGAACTTGAAAGCCGTTTTATGCACTTGTGGCTGACTTGAACACGGGCCTGGATTGGCACAACGCACGACTTCTAGGTTTTAGGAGCTGAATCCTGTTGTTTACTAATTGTTTTGGTTTTCCTGTCTGTCATCACTAGTCCCCCATTTGGTCCCTAATTTCCCCGCGTGCCTCTCCGTAATGTGTCGTGGGGTTTAGGTGTGTGCGCTGTTTTGGTTAGGTCCGTTTCGCCGTGTAGGTTGGTTCCGGAGGTCCGTCTGTTCCCCTCCCCCCCTGCGCTGTTTTTGGCCGTTTGCCCTTCGTGTGTCCGCTTTTTTCTTCCTCTTGCCTTTCAGGGTTGACCCGGCTCTGGCCGGGTGTGTGTGTGTGTAACATCTAAATAGATGTAAAACTTCTTTCTTTTTCTTCCTTCTGTCCTCTCCCTTTTTAAATCTAGTGAAAGGGTTTTAAATCTAGTGCAGGGGGATGAGGGTTCCCTGGGTGTGCCTCATCTAACAAAGACCGCACCAAGTGGACGTGATATCAGTGCCCGGCCAGCACTGACGTACCTGCACTCGTATATATTTTTTACGCTGTTGGTTTATATGTCAATGACTCCTGTGATTTTTTTACTGACGTGCTCCTTATACTCTTACTGCTGTTGGTTTATATGTCAATGACTCCTGTGATTTATATGGACGTGGCAAGGGGATAAGCCAAGAACCCCAATAAACAAACAATCTAATAAATTTGTTTCCTGTCTTTTTGCATGTTTCAGGATTCAGTTCCTGCCGGATCATATAATGATCCATTCTTGTCTAGTGTGTGTGTGTGTAAACCGTTTGTGTAGGTGTAAAGCTTCTTTTCACTGGGTGCCACTGGAGTCCCAGGGGGTCGATGGCCAACGAAGATGCCCCCTGGGTACCTGTGAAAACGTACCTGCTTGTATATGTATATATATATGTATGTATGTATGTATGTATATATAGTCCCGCCCCTGGCCGCATTTTAAGTCGCAGCTGGTGGGACATATATTTTATCGCTGTTGCTTTATATTGTCATTGTCTCCTGCGACTATATACACACACATATATATATATACATGTAGGTTCATCTCATCGTGTTAATTTGGTTTGTCGGTGTTTTTGCACGACCGTTGCATTCCACATCACAATTCGATAAGACAAGTCTGAGCAAGTGTGTGTGTGCGTGTGTGTTTTTCAAGGGTAATGCGGAAAATGCTGTGAATACTGTTGTTTTTGAAAGCACGTCCAAAAACGTCGCAAATACCGTGGTTTCTGGGACAATACAAGTTTTTTGGCGTCTGGAGCACCAAAAACATAAGTATTTGCGATGTTGTTTGTTCTCATGGTGTTAAAAGCAATGAACATGCAGCCTATATGACGTTTTTTTGTGTACACGAAAAGATGCTTTTAGATAAGGATTATGCCGGTAAAACGCCGCGGCATTTTCAGGTCAATTTGACATCGCACGATCACCATCAACAAGAAAAACAAGAACGGCAACAGCAACAACCAGTGAGGAAAAAAGCCCGGATGGCATCCCCGGTGTGCGAAGCTCTACAATATCCTATTAAAAGTGCATGTCAACCACACAGGTTTGAAGCACATGTTGCCCAACTGGCCCTGCCTCCATCGACATGCAAAGGCTGCAGCCCCTGAAAGGATGCCCAAAACACAGAGAAGTAGAGTCAAAGACCAGGTGAGCTGGCTCATGATTGCCACGGTTGCAGCCAAGGACAACAAACACCAACAAATGGTAGGGCAATGCAAGAATCCAGTAGCTAGAAATCCACGGGGAAACTTCAGGCGTAAAGTTCCCATGGAAGTGTCCAAGGGATTCTCCATCTGGTCCACATCCACATGCAGTATCAGCTGGAAAGAACTTGAGGCGCTCACTTTCCAGGGCCCCTTTTCTAAATCCGGCACCCTGGTGTTGTGAAAGGTGACTTCTCTGCCTTTCCTGGATTTGACAAACTGGTGAGCAATTGTTGTGGTCACCACAACCTTTCGTCCCTGCTCGCTAATGTCTGCAATGGGAACCTCGCCACAAAAGCCAATGAAAAACAAAAAGCAGCAACCAGCCGAGGTCATCCAACAGATTCCGGCAAGAACCACGTCCAGTCCAGAAATATGACACGTTTGTTTTGCAGGGTCAGGAGTACTTCGGATCAGAAAACTATCGCAGCTCGAGCAAATTGCGCTTGCAGGGCCCGAGACATGGCCTGGAGGACAGTTGCGACAGCTTCCTCCCAGGGAGAAAGTTCCACCTCGACAGGCTTCACACGCCATTGAGTCTTTGGCAAAATAGCCGGCAGCGCAGTGGCTACAGTTCCCACTCCCGCCGCCTGAAATTGTGCCTGCAGGACACACAACGCACTTGGAACTGCCCTCTTCGGCATATGTTCCACTCGGGCATGAGTCGCACATGCTGCTGCCTTGCACAGCAGCAAAGAAACCTCCCGGGCATTTGGTGCAAGCGTTACTTCCAGAAGATGAAAGAGAACCAGGGGGACAATCATTGCACCACTGGCGGCTGATTTCGTATTTTCCAGCCGGACATTCTTCACAAACCGTATTGCCAGAGCCCTGAGAAATTCCTCCTGGAGAGCATTTCAAACAGCTGCTGCTTGATTCTGAAGACTTTGTGCCAGGGCCACATTTCTTGCAAATACCTCCAGCAAGAGAGTAAGTGCCTGCTGGGCAAGACCTACAGATTCCATCCTTCTCTTCTGTACCAGCCGGACAAGTACCTTCCGCACAAGTGCTTCGGCCTTGCTCATCCATCCCGTAGAAACTGGCTTCAGAACAAAGGCATGAACCGCTGCCCCTTGCCATCTGTGCAGCAGTCGCCATCTGGGAAACATTCCTGGCGGCTAAGTCATCAAAACACCGACCTCGATCATGGCACACCTTACCACCTTCACCCGGGCATGCCCGGCACCCATGAGGGTTGCCCCATGACATGTCTACTGAATAGAAATACTGTTGACAGCCAGAACAATCGGCAAGTTCAAAGCCAGCAGTACAACTGCATCTGGCCTTCCCACGCATGCAAATGCCTTTCTCATGGCATGGATCGCTTGGTGAACAAGCCCCAGCTCTCCAATGCACGATCTTATCTTCATGGACTGTAAGTATTTCCAGCTGCCCGTTTTTGGTGACAAAATCCCAGCCAGACACAGGACCATGTTTGGCCAATTGTCCACCTTCCGGATGAAAATTGCTCATGTTAGTTCCCAGGCACAAAAGATTGTTGTCACATCGCAAGGTATGATCTTCTGTATGCTCACAGATACGAAAAGACATGGGGCCTCGGGAATAAGTTCGAACAAGTTGGACCAAGTCCAAATCACCATCAAGATCACAATCGATGAGTCGCCAAGCACCTTGCTTCTTTTGAAAGAAATCTTCAAAACCAACGCTCAGAGAGAGAAAGGGGCTATCTTCCCGGGGCCACTCTGACAGGCTGCCATTGTCCAGCCGTTCAAAATAACGATAGTCCGGAGCGCCCAGAATCAAATCAAGATCTCCGTCGTTGTCCCAGTCTACTGCAAGGGGCTGGGGAGCTTGTTCCTGATTTTTTGTTGTCTCCAGGATCAATTGTATGTTCGAGAATGAATGTTGCGATGATTTCTCGTGGAATAATCCATCCATCATCTCATGATAGTACACACGTCCATCGGAGTCTGAAGCGACAATCACATCAAGGTCACCATCACCGTCCCAATCAGAGATTGCTATACCGCAAGATTGGTGAAAGAATCTGTAGTTGTGGACAGATGTGATATTGTCAAAAAACCCAAAAACTTCCAAGAAATTCTGGCCGTCGAACTGGTACAATTGAAATTGACCTCTGCAGTATGTCAATACATCTAAGAAGCCATCGCCATTCCAATCGAAAAGATGTATTTCCTTGCAACTCTTATCAACATTGATGTCGTCGTACAGAGCGGTGTGGTCCTCAGCCATTTGGGTATTGTCTTGAGCACGTTCATACCATGTGACCAATCCTCCCTTCTGTTGACCACCCCAAGCCAACAGGTCAGGCAGCCCATCTGAGTTCCAGTCAGCTATAAAAAGTATTTTCTCGTTACCGAAGGTTAAGAAAGCAATATCATGCTCGACCCAAAGGTTTTGGAACGGGTGTTCGATTTGCTCAACGAAGGTTCCATCCATTGTACGTCGGAAGTACCGCAAGGAAGATCGATATTTAAATGCGACGCTGGTTAAGAGTACTGATCCACCTTCCGACTGGCTCTCTGGTTCCGCTTGCTGTTTCAAGCCTGGCGTCACCATTTCCAAGTATCCATCGCCATCCTCATCAGCAATGTGCAAAAATTTGCAGTCCAAATCCTTGATGGCCACGTTGCTTAAAGGGTTTTGATCTCCAACACGCTCAACGACGGTATCTGGATCAACTCGCTCGAAATATCTTGCTTGAAAAAACAAGTCAGTGTCCCTGTCGAGGTCCCAATCTACAGCTCTCATGCACCACGGAGTTGCGATGATAACGCCTGGAGGTTCCGGCCATAGATGCATGTCCTCAACCATAAGCAACATGTGAAAATCTACAGGTTTTTTGAGTATCATTGTGATTGGTCTGACTTCGCCATTGCCCATTGCCGTTGTTCGATTGGCCCAGCTCAGAAAAAGGTCTGCGTTCAGGTGGGTTGTTTTCACATATTTGGCCAATACCAGATCCTCTTCGCCATCGCCGTCCCAATCAGTTACCTCAAATTCTAGCGCATCTTCACCATTGTCAGCAGTATCCATGGCCTCCATGTACTCCTCCACCAAGTTGTGCATTTTGAAAGCGTCATTCTGTCGCTCAAAGAATCCGAGGCGCAACCGCCTCTTTTTGTAATCCTTGTCGTCCCAATACGTTGCCACAAAGTCCAGATCGCCATCTCCATCCCAATCCAAAAATTTGACGATGTGACGAATCCTAGGAACTTCATGAACCAGCTGAATTTCGATGGGTTCCTTGTAACTTTGCTGACTTCCCAAACAACTACCAGGCTCTGCCTGGCACCATGAAGTCTGCCCTTCACACAAGGAAACCAACCAGGCAAACTTCAGCAGCTTTGGAAGAAACCAAAGGATGGCATGGCTCAACATTGCAAATTAATTACCACTAGACAAAGATACATGAATGCATGAAGCTTTGCATACTGGATGGCTTCTAGGATGGCTCCTACTTCGCTACTTCATGATGGATCGGTTTGAAGAGCAACTGTGCTGTCAAAGCCACCAAGCCATGGAATGCCATGGAATGCTGTGGATCTCCTGTTTTACTGTCATTGTACCCTCTGGTAAACTAACATAACTATAGAAAAACACCATTTTTAATGGGAAAATTCACTATAACTGGGGTATTTTCAATAGCTATGTTAAATTACCAGAGGGACATGTTGTTTTTTGTGTGTTTTACGATATCATCATTGCACATGGGCAGCTGGAGCCCCGCTTTCAGGATGAGCCAGTCACTTCGGTTTGCCACGTCGGGCCAACCATGGCGCCAGCTTTTTACATGGATCAAAGGCCTATAAAAAGAGCGTCTTGACACACACGCTGAATCGTTCACCAAAGTGCTGCCAAGATGCCCAGTTTTTCTGGCCGCAAGTGATGACTTGTGATGTGCCAACTTCTCCCCTTGCGTGTCCTGGATCCAAAATGCCACGTTAACACCTTCCAATGCAGCTGCTCTACGCTCCTTGCGGCAATACCTGAGCCGCTTAGCCGCTTCCATGCCAGACATCCAAACAGGTTTGGACAGTTTGGACAAGGAGTGCCCAAGTTGTTTGACTTTGCGCAGTTAAGCTACTTGTCGGCAACTCAGCTGGTAGTAGCGATCATCTTTCTTTCCTCTGCCAATCAGATCTGCAGACTTTTGGCGAAGTTGAGAGAGAGCTTTGACAAGACACACGAACAAAAGAGCCACCACTGCCATAGCTTGCACACCATGGCAAAGAAGGAACATGAACAAAAACATGTCATTTTGCAAGGATGTCATTTTGCAAAAAACACGAGCTGGAAGCCAATCAACCTCACTGAGGGCATGCGCCGCTACAGGTATTCCCAGAAGATATCTTGGGATATTCCAGCAAATCGCTTTGAAACCGTGCTCATCATTGCAATGATTCTGCCTGATGCTCATTAAATTACACCACCGTAGACCCCAAACAGTTGGGAGACATGATGGGAGACAAATGAAGGGAATTATTAAATGATCCGGACACCACCAGTAACACAAGGGCGGCCACCTCCTAAGAAGAATTGAGAACCCCTCTAACAGTAAACTGTTGGGGGAATTACTCAGGGCAGAGCCCATCTTTACAGTCTTTAGTGGGGAGAGCCTTGCTTTGTACTACACTTTAAATCAGCTACTAAAATACCCTCATAACCCTGTGGGGAGAGCCTTCCTCCTTGGCTTTACACTAGCCTGCGTCCCTTGGGGGAGAGCATGGCTTTAATATTAGCTGTGTTTAGTTTTTCGGTTGCCTTCAATATGAACTTGCTGTAATCCATAATCTATATAACCTATGTAAACTTGTCTGAAGTATTAGCACTCTAAACATGTCGCGCATGTCGCAGCCCGCTCCACGTCCACACTGAGTTGGCAAGGTGCGTAGATACCATACTCCTTCAAGCGTGGAATGAAGCTGTCTATCTGAAAGGCACGTGGACAAATCACCAAGCCTTATAGCGTGGCAAATTCCAGTCCTTGTCTTCAGCCATCAGCAGCGACATCTCATCACATCTGGCCTAGTATGTACTAGTGCCTTAATCATATTAACTTTAACTATACCTGTCGAATCCTACATCTTTCTAGACATGTTTCATATTTTCCTTGTATCATACATTCATTGACATCCCCGGTCTGAACTAACAATGCTGCATTTTCTCGACTTACTCCTCTAAAACGTCTTCAACCGGGGACGCAACCACTGGAGGACGAGGACCACTCCTAGGAACAAGAGACAAGTTCTCATTGTGACATGTATGCACTCCGAAATCTACTGACCTTGTGTGACTTGCAGAAACAACACAGGATAAAATGCAACTGCAGGTTGGCCTAAGCTTTTCAAATAGTCTTCGAGAAATCTAACACTGTATTACGGGTGATACAAAGTGGGCAGTCCTGATAATACCAAATGTGGTAGGTCGCAAACTCTGTCTGAAACCTAGACAGTGCTTTGAGACTGACATCCTAAAAACGTTCTGGTCGTTCTGACCACATGCACAGCATGCTGGCTGCAGCTTGCTACAAGATTGCACCTTTCAGAGTTTGACGGCGGAAGCACTTCCCTTCTGCCTAGTTGTCTTGTTGGCACTTTCCAGCCAAGCGTGACCACCAACCTACTGCATTCTCGGTAGAAGCTAGAAATGCAGTGTGACCCCAATGACATGTGAGAAGAAAGATGTCTAGGATGTTCCCATCCCTATGTAAGGCACCTATCACACATTCGCATTCGCATTCCGGGAGAAAACCAACTGCTGTGCGCAATTGCACAAAGAGAGCAATTCCAATATGTTTCCAAGGTTTCCGCTATTGATGACATGTTGGAGATAACACATCAGAATTCTGGGTTTCTGGTGTTCTCGCCGAACAATGCAGAAACAGTCTTCATATCATATCTTTAAAAATTTTAAACCTTGAATGGTACTGTACAAGATCCAAACCCGAAACTGTTTCATTACTTTATGGGAAACAAGCAAAGAAAGGACCCAAGCAGCTCCCCACAACCCCCTGGGCTTCAACCCTCCAAAGGGGACTACTGCAGTTTTGCCATCCTCCAATTTCAGGAATTTCTGACGAACAGCCTAATGAATATGGAGTTGTAAGTGTGCGCATCATGTTTGCACCGGAAAGAAAATAACATCTCGTCTGAAAACAAAAAATTGAAGAGCATCACAAATCATGGTCTCTGGATTCTCCTCTGTGGAAACACGCCCGATCTCCTCTGTCATGTGTCTCAAATGTATGCGTCTACGCATAGAGACAAACGAACACTTGGAGACTTTGAGAACAAACCGTCAATCAGCCTTCAAGAAGTCTTTGGTAGATGTCAAAAAAAAACAATTTGTTGCCTCATTTTCTGCCGGATGTGCAACTACATTTTGCGTTCCTACAGTTTAGGATGGTTTATATCACCCACTGCTGGTACAAATGGTTCTGGCACTGGTTAATTATTTGTTTAAGAACCGCATGACCAAACTTCTAGAAACCCACCATATGATGGTGACACTGTTGTCTAGCTTTTAAGGAGCTGGAGAACCGCTTGACAATCATTCACATTTCTTTTCGCTGGCACATCCCCTGACATGTGCAACAGATTACAAAATAATGTTTGATATGTTTGTTGGTTGATTCACAGTTTATTGGCGCTCAGCACATATGGGTCAAAACACCAAGTTGCCGGCTTTCCTTAAAATCCGGGTGTTGATTCATGTCCAACGCTGCTAGCCTACCCTGCCCACATGTTCTAAGGTAACAGTTTCGTATCTGTTGGTGCCATTGTTTTGTTGTTTGCATACCATTTTTGTCCTTGATTTCCACACTTTGTTGGGTTACTTCCACAATATATATATATATTATATATATATAGCGCAAACAAATACATCTCACATCAAGAAATATCCTCATATATATATATATATCATATATCTTTAAAACATGTGATTTTCCCATGTATATACTTATACTAGTTGCTGATATGGAACTTTGCGTGTTTTGCCAGGTGACGCTGCCGGACCTCCATGTCCCACAACGGTTTCCCGGTTTCCCTTCTGAAAACCTGGAAAGGGCAGGGACACACCATTAAAACATGTTAGAACACACCAAAGTTGTAGCTTCGCTGAGAGTTGCACAGGACCAAAGGCCCTGGAGACATTCTATGGCTTTGTAGCTGAGTCAGGGCTAGAAATTAGGAATTGATGCCTGCAAACGATCTTAATACGCTATCCAGACCATCTTCCAAAGATTGAAGCATCTCACCATATACGTGTACACCGGAATTGACTTTGGAGACTTGCCGCGCTATGAAAGCGCCAACTTGAACCGAAGGAAGGGGAGGGAAAGCTGAGTCGTAGGGTAAAACCTAGCTGTGTAAAAGTCAAGTGCCGTAAAACCCGGCTTTTGTGAATTTGTGAACATTCCGCGGAAAAAAACATGTTGGTTTTGAAGAAACCAGATTGCGTGATTGCTGGAGAAATTGGTCATGCTGATCCTTTTGTGATTTTGTTGGTGCTCTGATCCAGACACATGTTAAGACCCTGCTGTATTGGGAGCCCTGAAAGCAGCATGGCCAAATGACCAACATATATTGGGAGATTCAGACATGTTTGCAATGGCAATTCTTTTCTTTTCAAGTCTGCTTTCAAAGCAAACCAGGCAACCTAGCAGACCTAGCACAACAGGCGCAGCTGTTTATCTGCACTCGCAATCTCCAGGCATCAGGTCTTTTCCGACTCTCTTCCTTCCAGCCATCAAAAATGTAGGGCAACACTTGGATTAAACAGCAAGGATACAGAACACAGGTTCACGTCATCTACGATTTGAACTCTTGCCTTGTCAAACATTCCTTGTCATGAACTCTTCCAAGGGTTGACATCAGTGACAAAACCGCAAGAACACCTGCCAACTCCGGCGCCAGGGTCCTTTCAAGCAAGCTCGGTGTCCTGGCTCCACGCAAAACAGATGTCTTGTGCATATGTCCTGTCAATGCTAGACAACGTGAACGCAAAGGGTTTGCCTAAAGTCCCACATAATCCCCCGAAGGCATCTTTTAAGAACGTCTCACACGCAAACCCTTTAAGATCGCCTCCCCGAAGTGTCTTGCAAAAGTCTTTCCCACAAGAGCGTTTCAGAAACAATGCGCGGAAATTAAAAACATAGCGGTATCCTTCAATCCAGTATGCCATGTCTTCACGACTTTCCATTGGCATAATTTTTGACAGCATAAACTCCTGGTGATCATGGTCTCAATCTCAGCATTCGGCATGCAGATCGAAGCGCCCGGGAGAATCCGAACATATTCCTGCCTTGGTGTATTTACCTCAAGATGACAAAGACACCAACTTGGTTTCAGTGTTCTGCTTGGCCCAGGCTTTGCTTCATTGATATTTCCATAATCTGAAATTTTACAGCCTACCGCAGTCTACACACAGGATCAAAAGGGGAGAAGTCGGGCTCTTCAAGCCCTTTTCTTGACACTATCAATTTCATTGTGACCCTTTCAAGTTGTAGCGATTTTAGCCGAGCACATTTTCCTCATGAAATCAAATTCAGTTAGGGCGACAGCTGACCATACCTGTGCTGGTCAATGCTCCTTCCCATGCAACATCATGCAACAAAACATACAAACCATGAGAAGATCTAGCTGGTTGCAATGCGCCTTGTCTGGCTGCAGTCGTGATGCTTGTTTACGCTGCTGATGCGTGATGGGTTATGCACTTCAATTGGATGCTGCAAATCCCAGCATGGGAAATCAGCTCAAGCTCGGCAAGCCCTCTGCGGCCAGTCTCAGAAATGTCTTCCAGAACGTAAATGGATGAAACTTCGATTCCTGTCTTCCAGTGGTTTCAACATCGAAACAGCAGCCCTTCTGCCAGATCTTTTTTCCGTTGCTGAAGCCGTGGCTGAACATTTAAAATCATAGGTCTAAGAGCTCCTCAAGGCTGGACCCCTGGAAAAGATGACCTTGCAATCGAAATCGGACGAATTCTGGCACAACAGCTGCAGGGTTCTTGTGCCCGGATGAAATCTGAGTCAGAAGCTTGTGGAACCAAACCATCCTTGGAGCGTAGTCTATCTCACTTTGCTCCAAGACGGTTTCCACAGCCTCTTTCAAGTTGGAATCCTCCATGCTTGGCACCTGCTTGACGAAGCCATTTCGGCCCAAAACTTTCATGTCCCTCAATACATCCCAAAGGCGCCGGCACTGCCGCTCTGTCCATCCATGATGACGGGCAGCACTGTGGATGCATGAAGGCTCTAAAAGACCAAGAAACTTGGCAAGTTCAGGGATCTCACTCCGTGGATAGTCACAGGAGCCATTGAACAGCTTCAGCACAGCTCGATGTTGCGCATCTGGAAGCTTTGGAAAGCCTCGAGGACAAACAGACATAGTTTTCCCACCATCACTCACGTGGTTGAGTTGTGTTGGGAAGTCCTCTGCTTGTGTCGCCCTCTGCGATGCTTGCTTGCTAAGACACCGCGTCTCCCGCAAAACGTGTCCAGCTTCCCAACCTGATAGCAAGATGACGCTGCCTTCAGCCAAGACATAGGCATCCACAGGCCGCGCAGCATGTGCTTTTTCGAGGGGGCCGCAATCGGCATCCACAATTTCCACACTGGACAGAAAATTGTCAGTGGCAAAGACATGGGAAACTCTGAGATCTCGCAGCTGTGGCAAAGGCGTGCCACGTTGTTCGAGCTCATCTGCTGTGATTCGGAAAAGACAAGGACATCCAGGGCTTCCACTGAGACAATCTGCTACAAAGCCTGGTTGTAAAGCACGGCTCCACTCCCACTGCTTCTCGGGAAGCGGCTTGTGGGCTTGAATGGCTGGAGGGCAAATTTCAGCTTCCATTTCGATTTCAACTTCTCTTTCGCGTTCTTTTTCCTGTTCCCTCTCCCTTTCTTGTTCCTCATCCATGGAGGTAACAAGCACATCCTCTGAGCATAGGAGTTGGTGATGGTGCAGGTACAGCAACTGGCTCTTGATGATGATGTTTGCCTCCTCTTCACACCGGCGTACTTCTTGCTCACTGAGGTCTGCAGTTTTCAAGATCCGTTTCGGGCTTTCTTTTGCCCGCCTAGGAATCTCTTCTGCGCTGGGACGTGTGGAGAGCGATTGGCAATATGAAGTCAGCTGGAACTCTTCTGGTTCTCTGCAAAGCTTTGCCAATGTCCTGCACTCAGCCCCAAAGCCGTTCGACACATGTTGCAAGAAAGGCACGCGAACTGCAAAGGCGGCACCCTGCAAAGCCCAGTGCACAATGGCAGATTTCAACTCCTCAGCGGTCCTTGCTGTGACGTAAGCAAGAACCAAACCCAAACTTGGCACCGGTCTTGGCTGCATGTGTTGCTGTCCAGCTTCTGCAAGTTGCCTTCCAGCTTCACTGTCCAAGAAAAGCATGACTGTCTGCCCCAAGCCCAGCGAACGCATTCGCATGCACGCTTGGACTAACCTGTCTTTGGTGGTCTTTTTACAGATGGTGACTGCTCCAACTGCATCTGGTGCAAATCGCAAATCTGTTCCTCTTGTGTGCTTGTCGTCCAGGTATGTGAAGCCGTGGGCAGGTTGAAGTGGACTCTTGGCCAAGGGCGTATCCTTCCCATCTCTGTCCAGCACCAAGACTTGATTGTCATCATCGAAGTAAATGGCAGCACGGAACCGGCTGCATAGGTCCAGCACAGCCTGTGCAACTTGGCGGTTTGACATCCCAGTAAGAAGAGCACCGCAATCAATCAGTACAGAAACTTGCGGAGTATTTGTAGACAACAAAATCTCTTCCAAAATCTTCAGCGGTTCCTTTTCCTTCACCATTCTCACCTGAGAAGGGCCACCCATCTCAGGATCACAAAGGCTCCGCAAGGCCCGGCCATCTGTGTGTTTCAGCCATCCATCATCATACTGCTGAACTCCCAAAGGCAACAGCTGCCGGTTGTCGGCAGTTCCGGAGAAGCCCCTCAGACGTCCAAATGCCAAATCCCATGCGCTGGATGATACCTGCCATCAGGGTTGCTGGTTTGTTGGAGGGAATTCAAAGAAGAAATGACACGATTTGAGATGATTTGAAAATCCGTCCTACATCAAGGCTGCGAAAAGCTGCAATACTGGCTTGTACTGTATGGCATGTCATGATCTTAATGCAACATAGCGCAACCCTTCACTCTGCGGCTGTGACCCCTGCTTGCCTTGAACGGAAATTGGCGAGTCTCCTTCGGGAAAACGAATTCTTCCAAGAAGGTCTCGATGACTTGGAGGTTCTTGCCCAGCTTTGGCCAAAGGAGATTCATCATGTCATCGTCAAAGGTCAAAACTTCTGCGCTTCTGGGAATTTTCAGCCTCTTGGCGACAGCTTTTTCAATCGCTTCAGTGCGAAAATCATCCGCATTGGCCGCAGCCTGTAGCCACAGTCGGTAGCGACGAGTCTTTTCCACAAGAGGCAACTCCTTGAGCCATTGGAAAACCCGGGAGAAAGCGGCCTTGGTCAAGCCATCCTCAGCATAGGCGCGCAAGGTCAAAGTAATGGCCAAATCCGGATGACCAAACTCGGTCCTTTCGCTGGGAGCATCCTTGAAGCGGAAAGGTATGGCCATTTCACAGCGCCAAGTACTGCGGTCTACCCCAAACTCCACACGGTGTCGCTTGTGCAGTGCAGAGCGTAAAATATCACCTGCAAAAAGGCCTCTGGCAGTGAGAGCAGCTTGCGGCAAAGATGGACTGCTGTCATACTCTTCAAGGGACTCCAGGATTGCTTCCAATTGCTCATCAGATAGACTTGGGTCAAGGATGAAATTGCGGAGCTGGTCACCTGAGGCCGGCATCGGAATTGCTAAGCTGCTAAGGGTCGGTATGTTCTAAGTGCTTCGTGTGGTTCTACCCAGAGCAGACTCAGCAAACCAATCCGGATCAATGTGCTGATGGGGGCCCCTGACGGTTGCCACTGCATGTGGGAACCTTTTTCCTGACCCTTTCGTTCAACTTGGCGGAGCATCGCAAATGTCTGATCATGTATGACACCTGGGTGCTTCTTGAGATTGGCCAGACCCCAGTGCTGCCTACATGTTTCCTGCAAAACTGTTCTCGTTGCTGCCCCTAGTAGTCCCTTGCTTTGACAAACTGCTGCCGAGGTACGAGCCTTCAATGGCAGATTCCGCATTCCGCCTAACTTCTCCTGCCTTTCTGTGAAGGATAAACCCTCGGACAGCAGACCTTCGCATAGCCATTTAGATAGCTCAGCCCAAGCATCCTCATTTCCTGGGCTGGTCAAATGTCATGTAATGTCACAGTCAAAAACAGGCCGGCAAATCAACACAACACCTTTGGGTTCAGCTCACCAACACAATTTGGCTCAGGCAAATTGTAAAGCGATCAAGGCTCGATGAATCTCCACGAAACGCAAACGAGGGAATTCTGCTCCCGTCAGCTCTTCAGAAGAACTCTCAGTGATCTCAATCAAATCCCTGGAAGAACACTCCAATAGCTTCTTCTTCACCTCCTCGTCATTCTTCCTGAAGGACTTGAACCATCTTGAATGCAGGAAAAACATTGAAAAACAAGGAAATGCAAAAACAAAGATGCTCTCGAATCCAAGTCTGGCTCAACGCAATGAGAACATGTCAAAGCTGTGAGGAAAAACCTGCGCTACTGCGTCCAGCAGAAGTCACGCAGGCAAAAAAAAACAGCTGGCTGGACAATCAAATCATGTTCTCAGGGTAGGACAGCAAGCGGAAAATCGCGAATGGCACTTTCCAGCGCATCTCCCCACCATCCAAAGCCTTGATGGTATGCGATGTCGAAAAACTGCCCCAAAAACACCACCAAACAAGATGCAACCCACGAACCCGAATGCTCACACGTATGTTAACGGTGATGATGTCGAAACACATGGAAATGCAGCCAAGCAGAACATGTCAAGTGCAAAGTGTAAAATGTAGAGTGTGGAGTGCAGAGTGTAAAGTGTGGAGTGCGAAGCATGGAGTGGAAACTGTGAAGTGTAGAATGCTGAGTGTAGACTGTAAAGTGTGGAGTGTAGAGTGTGGAGTGTAGAATATAAAGTGTAAAGTGTGGAGTGTAAAGTGTAGAGTGTGGAGTGTGAAGTGTAAAGTGTAGGGTGTGGTGGCGTGTAGAGTGTGGAGTGTGGGGTGCAAAGTAGGGAGTGTGGAGTGTAAAGTGTGGAGTGAAAGATGTACCGTGTAAAGTGTGGAGTGTAGATTGTAGAGTGTAAAGTGTAGAGTGAAAAGTGTAGAGTGTAAAGTGTAAAGTGTAGAATGTAAAGTGTAGAGTGTGGAGTGTAAAGTGTAAAGTGTAGAGTGTGGAGTGTGGAGTGGAAAGTGTAGAGTGTGGAGTGTAAAGTGTACAGTGTGGAGTGTAAAGTGTGGAGTGGGGAGTGGAAAGTGTAGAGTGTGGAGTGTGAAGTGCGAAGTGTAAAGTAAGGAGTGTCGGGTGTAAAGTGTGGAGTGTGGAGTGTAAAGTGTAAAGGGTACAGTGTAGAGTATAAAGTGTAGAGTGTGGAGTGTAAAGTGTAGAGTGTAGAGTGTGGAGTGTGGAGTGGAAAGTGTAGTGTGGCGTGTAAAGTGTAAAGTGTGGAATGTAAAGTGTGTAGTGTGCAGTGAGGATTGTGCAGTGAGGAGTGTGGAGTGTGGTGGAGTGTGGAGTGTGGAGTGCGGAGTGTGGGGTGTAAAGTAAGGAGTGTGGAGTGAAAAGTGTAGAGTTAGGAGTGTGGTGAGAGAAGTGTAAACTGTAAAAGGTGGAGTATAAAGTGTAAAGTGTAGAGTGTAAAGTGTAGAGTGTAAAGTGTAGAGTGTCGAGTGTAAAGTGTGGAGTGTAAAGTGTACAGTGTGGAGTGAGGAGTGTACAGTGTAAAGTGTAAAGTGTGGAGTGTAGAGTGTAAAGTGTACAATGTAAATTGTGGAGTGTGGAGTGTAAAGTGTAAAGTGTAGAATGTAAAGTGTAGAGTGTGGAGTGTAAAGTGTAAAGTGTAGAGTGTGGAGTGTGGAGTGGAAAGTGTAGAGTGTGGAGTGTAAAGTGTACAGTGTGGAGTGTAAAGTGTGGAGTGGGGAGTGGAAAGTGTAGAGTGTGGAGTGTGAAGTGCGAAGTGTAAAGTAAGGAGTGTCGGGTGTAAAGTGTGGAGTGTGGAGTGCGGAGTGTAAAGTAAGGAGTGTGGAGTGTAGAGTGTGGAGTGTGAAGTGTGGAGTGTGGAGTGAGGAGTGTAAAGTGTACAGTGTGGAGTGTAGAGTGTAGAGTGTGGAGTGTGGAGTGTGAAGTGTGGAGTGAGGAGTGTAAAGTGTGGAGTGAGGAGTGTGGTGTGAGGAGTGTAAAGTGTAAAGTGTGGTGTGTGGAGTGTAAACTAAGGAGTGAAGAGTGTAAAGTGCGGAGTGTGAAGTGTGGAGTGAGGAGTGCGCAGTGCGCAGTGTAAAGTGTGGAGTGTAGAGTGTAAAGTGTACAGTGTAAATTGTGGAGTGTGGAGTGTAAAGTGTAAAGGGTACAGTGTAGAGTATAAAGTGTAGAGTGTGGAGTGTAAAGTGTAAAGTGTGGAGTGTGGAGTGGAAAGTGTAGTGTGGAGTGTAAAGTGTAAAGCGTGGAGTGTAAAGTGTGTAGAGTGTGAAGTGTAGAGTGTGGAGTGTAAAGTGTAGAGTGTGGAGTGTGGAGTGGAAAGTGTAGAGTGCGGAGTGTAAAGTGTAAAGTATGAAGTGGAAAGTGTGTAGTGTGCAGTGAGGATTGTGGAGGGAGGAGTGTGGAGTGTGGTGGAGCGTGGAGGGTGGAGTGTAGAGTGTGGAGTGTGGGGTGTAAAGTAAGGAGTGTGGAGTGTAAAGTGTGGAGTGAGAAGTGTGGTGAGAGAAGTGTAAACTGTAGAAGGTGGAGTATAGAGTGTAAAGTGTCGAGTGTAAAAGTGTAGAGTGCGGAGTGTGGAGTCTAAAGTGTGGAGTGTGCAGTGTGGAGTGAGGAGTGTACAGTGTAAAGTGTAAAGTGTGGAGTTCAGAGTGTAGAGTGTAAAGTATAGAGTGTAAAGTGTAAAGTGTGGAGTGCAAAGTGAAGAGTGTAAAGTGTAGAGTGTGGAGTGTAAAGTCTGGAATGTGGAGTGGAAAGTGTAGAGTGTGGAGTGTGGAGTGCGGAGTGTAAAGAAAGGAGTGTGGGGTGTAAAGTGTGGAGTGTGGAGTGTGTAAAGTGTAGAGTGTGGAGTGTGGAGTGTAGAGTGTGGAGTGTGGAGTGTAAAGTGTGGAGTGTGGAGTGTGGAGTGTAAAGTGTGGAGTGTGGAGTGTAAAGTGTGGAGTGTGGAGCGCGGAGCGTAAAGTAAGGAGTGAGGAGAGGAAAGTGTGGAGTGTAAAGTGTGAAGTGAGGAGTGTACAGTGTAAAGTGTAAAGTGTAGAGTGTAGAGTGTAAAGTGTAGAGTGTGGAGTGTAAAGTGTGGAGTGTGAACTGTAAAGTGTGGAGTGTGGAGTGGAAAGTGTAGAGTGTGGAGTGTGGAGTGTAAAGTGTAGAATGTAAAGTGTAGAGTGTGGAGTGTAAAGTGTAGAGTGTGGAGTGTGGAGAGGAAAGTGTAGAGTGTGGAGTGTAAAGTAAGGAGTGTGGAGTGTAAAGTGTGGAGTGTGAAGTGTGGAGTGAGGAGTGTGCAGTGTAAAGTGTAAAGTGTGGAGTGCAGAGTGTAAAGTGTACAGTGTAAAGTGTGGAGTGTGGAGTGTAAAGTGTAGAGTGTAAAGTGGGGAGTTGGGAGTGTAGAGTGTGGAGTGTATAAAACAGGTTGGAATGTCACAAAGTGCCGCGCCTGCCACGCCAAACGACATGACAACTTGCTTGGAAACCTGCAAAACGGAGAAGTTTTGCAGCTCCCCCCATAGACACGGCGAAGCCACTGGAAAACCAGAGACTCGAGACGAGGCACGTGGGAGCACCATTGTGCGAGACTTCGGCCAATTTTCACAGTTGGAAACATACCAAAAGCACAGGTTTTGTAGCTTCCCCCACAGACACGGCGAAGCCACTGGAAAACCAGAGACTCGAGACGAGGCACGTGGGAGCATCAAAACGAGCATTTCGTGCGAGACTTTCTCCAATTTGCACACTTTGTAGCTTTAAAGTCGACGTTTTCCTAGGAGTTTTCGTAGGAACCTCTAAATTTGCTACCTCAGCACATCTCACAAACTGCCACGCCTGCCACGGAATTTGCACCTTGTCGCCACTTGACGCAGCCCTGCCAATGCGATTTGCAAAAACACGCAGCACGACACGTCTAACGTGCTGCGCCTGCCACGCAAAGTGACGATGGACATGTCCAAAGTGCTGCGCCTGCCACGAAAACTGCAACGCATCTTCTGAAAACGTCGCAAAAGTATTGCCCCTGCCACACAAAACCATTTTCGACACGTTATAAAATATGTCTGAATGTCACAAAGTGCCACGCCTGCCACGCGAAACGAAGCAACGAGAAGTTTGAAACCTCTAATAATGACCACCTATGCAGAACTTACTTATAGGCACGGCCATACGGTCCTCGCGCGAACGGTTGCGGACGGTTGCGAACGGTTGCGGACACAAACGCAACGTCGAGCGAACACACCCTCAGCCCCCAGACCCCCAGAGTGAAACGGGAACCCTTGCTATGCATTCGGGAAAAATGAACAAGATGAACACATCTTTCCATGTCTTGACCATTGCCTGGCGGGCACCGAGGGTATAGATCTGCTCATTCTGCAACCGTAGCGCTTCGTCAACTTCATCAAAGAAGTCCACCTGCAAATTCTCGAAACTCGGCACATCGGATCGTGAAACCACACGCAGAGATGCGCAGAGCAAAGAAAATTCAACGTGATCTTCTGGGCTGTTGAATATGTTGAATGAAAAATAAACGGGTACTGAGCGGTATGAAGAAGGGGATGGCGTCCGAGGCACGACAGAATGAAGGCCCTCGTTGAAAATTCCTCAAGCGAGCAACTTTGTCAAGAGCCAATACAAACTGCCACACCAAATTTTACAACAGAAAACATTCGCTGCACAGCAGGTCAAGCGTCGTGCGAAGGCAGATGCCAGTTTGGTCGAAGTCTTTCCGAGACAGCACTCGCGGAGCTTCAACTGCAGGCTTCTTGTAGACTCTTCAGTCATAAGTAAAATGCCACCCATTTTCCTGCCATCAAGCGGCACATGTGCAAAACTTGTAGCTTCAACAAAATAATGGCTTGGAACTAGCGGAGTGGATGTCAGTCGCTATTCGACCTGTGCCTGAGACAGCAAGAGTGGCGACAACTGCATGATACAAATAGGTTTCGAGACACCGAAAGACAGCAAGAACAACCTTCCAAAACATATTGATCACTATCTTGTCTGTCTCAAAACCCGTTCAAAACCATTATCTCTCACTCTACAGTACTCCAAGCCTGACATAGGAATCATACATGGCTTTTGATTGAAAGAACATATGGCATCCAGAGGCAGCAAACCTGAAAATTTGGGTCCTGCACTCTCGAAGCTGCTCCATAAGAGCGCCGATGGATTCTTCAGTGATCGTTTTGGTGCGATCAAATGGAACCACATAGATCCTCCAAGACATTTACCATCATGGTGGGTAAAGTATATCTGGGCAAATCAGCAGCAAAACTAAACGCGCAACCCATCAATCCCCAACTTCAAAACTGACTTGAATTGACTGCCTCCTGCCCAGCATGCCGCCAAGCACATTCCGAAAGTGGTCAATGGCAGCATCCAACAGAGATCCCAAAACAACCACCTTAACCAAAGAACATGTGGCAAATAGAGTTCCTTGTGCTGCCATGCTCCGCAAGAAAACTCTTAACCATGGCAGAAGACTAAACAAGTGTGAGCTGAATGTCAAAGTGGCTTGGCCTTGTTGATATGTAGCCGAGTTGCTCTCACTAACTGCTTGCCATCTGCCACGGCGGTGCAAAGCAAAGGCCTAAACAAGTTCGATAGATCTTTCCGTTGCAGCTTCTGATGCTTAAGTGACTCAATCCAATTTCTTGTGGGCGCACCTGACTCACCCTATTTAATAATTACTTTCATCACAAGGCCAAGACTGAGAGGCGCACAATATGACCTTGCTCTTGCCCTCGCCCATGTTCAACTGGAGGACTTTCTTATCAAAATCGAGTGACATCATCTTGGTGGCGACATGAAGCTGAACAGGTCGGCATACCAAGCGCTGCTCCCATTCGAACTGAAGCCATTCATCTCGGACCAACGGCTTTTTGGGACCTGTTGACATCTCCAAAAGGTCTGCCACTTGTCTCTGCAAGGTGGCACTGATTTCACCATTCAATTCCTGGGCGACTCGACACAAAGACGTGGCCAAACCCTGCAGTTGCACCAATTCCCGCATGGCATTCTTTAGCTCTGCGGGGATCTGGCTCTGAGGGAACTGAGCTGTCCAACGAGGGAATGGACCAAAGGTCTGGTCTCCAAAGAACGGATTCAGCGCATTGAGATCGGGCAACTGGCCCGGTGGAGCAGCCAGCAAAGCCACCAGCCTGGCCCGTTGTGCTGTACCTGCAGCGCATGTCACCTGCAAGGCTTTGAAGGCCTCTCCCCTGGCATCTTCGGGTAAGAAATCCGAAACTGCACGCAGTACCCTCTTCCAACTCTCCAGAACGATTTCACGGAGATTCACGGCTTCTTGAAACACCAGTTTGGCAAAGGGCTGCCGACGCTCCTCCTTCAGGATCTGCTTGGCCAAGACCTCTGAGCCCTGAGAACGTTCAAATTCTGCATCCCAACTCTCCTGCAAGCTCCGAAGCAACGAGCGTCCTGGACCTTGGTTTAGTTTCTTCTCCAACACTGACCCAGGTGGGATCTCCAGAGGAAATGGCTGTCCCTGAACCTTCTGTACGGCTGACCCGATCGCGGAAGAAAGTCGATTGGAGAGTTTCTTCCGAAGTTCTTGAAAAACTGGCAAATGAAGCTTGGGGAAGCTTTGGCTCGCAATCGGCTTGACAACTTGCAGAATGGAGGGTTGTAGAACACCACCGAAGTGCCACTGCGGGCAATCTTTCTGCACACGTTCATAGGCCTTGAAGAGACAACGAACCAACCGCTGCCTAGCCCAAACTTGAGCGTTGTTCTCCAATTCTTGCATCAAGGCTTCTTGGACATCGCGTCGGAAACGCATCTGTTCCATTGCCCGGTTGAGCTGTTCAAGGGCATGAAAAATACCTGCAGGTTTTGCCAAATGAGCCAGATCGAAAATGACCTGGGAGTCCACCACTGCAGCGCTGCTATCGTCTTGAACCCACTCAGCAAGTTTGGAAGAAACCCGTTGCCATGCATCGACCACTGCTTTGATTTCGCCCGTGGAGGCTGGCCGCTGAGGACTGGCAGTTTGGATCAACTTCCAGACCTTGTCCTCTTGGATCCGTTGATGGGCCTCCCAGTCATCACCATTCCAAGCTTCAAACCAACTGTCTAGCTGCGACACCACATGCTGAACACTTTGATGTATCTGAGCCTCTTGGATGCTTTTCAGCCGGGAACTCACCGAACAAGCTGCCCTCCTCTCAGCATGGGCTTGGCATGAATCACGGTTCATGCGCTTCTCATTCAGGATGCGTTCTGTGAATTTGAGCTGACCTACTTTGCTGGATGCTTTGGTGGCTGAGATGTCGGCTCTTCCATGGGTAATGCCACCTTGCTGCTGTTGAATCACCTTCGACTCGTGCTGAAGCTTCTCTTGCTCAGCTGCATACTGCTGATCAATGCACTTCACAGCTTCAGCTTCGTGCATCTTATTCCATCTCCACCTCTTTAGAACTTCCTCTGTGATGCCCTTGGCCCTGACACTTTTCATTTTTTCCTTCCTTTCTGCCAAGCTGCGCTTGTCTGCATTCAGCTGATTCAAGTCCTCCTGATAATCAGCCCTTTCTTTTTCATTTCTGCGCTCTGCTTCAGCCACTTTTTTCTCAAGATCTGTCTTCTTGGTCTGCAAATCTTGAAGCCTCCTCTGGCATGACCGCAAGTGGCCTTCGTGCTCCCGCTGTGCATCTTCTCGGCCAAGTTGATACCGCACATCGAGCACCAAGGATCGAACCAGGCCCTCAGATGATCGAAAATTCTGGTTGTGGCCTTCTCTCTTGAGCTTTTCAATTTCCTTGAGGTCAGGTTTGACATGGCAAAAACATGGGCTGGGGAAATGCGACCGGACAGTTATTGCAAGCTGTTCTTGCAAGATTATGTTGAGAGAAGCACAGAGTGATACAAATGAGTGGCAAGCAAATTAAGACAAAGGAAATTCGAATAACGAATGGATACCCTATCCTGTGTCCATGTTGCTATTGATGCCCAACATCTTCGTTGATTTTGTCAGATGTGCTTCTGGAATGATATCATTCTCTACCTTCCCTCATTGTTGGCCGTGACAACGGATGCACAAGTTTCACTGACTCGATAGTTTCTGTTGCTCTGTCTCCATTCCTTCTTGTCAATGACTACAGTAGTTCTTCGTCGACAGGATGGCTTCTGATGGTTGCTGACTGCCTTCCAATGTTGCAAATGGCAAAGTCCTCATAATCATGAAGATCTTCACCTTTCCCACAGGCCCCTTCTTTGGCTATCAGCGAGGTGTCATCATCGACCTATTAGTTTACATGCCTTGTTTCGTTGTCTTGTCTATAGGATGTCTAGGTGCCCAACTTGTTTTAATTGTTGGTTTCCGAGCCCTTTCCTCCAGGAGAAGCACGCGGCTGTGGTGTAAAAGCACCTGTGCGCAAGAAACTCTGATGCCCAAACCTGAAAAAATGCTAAAAAGGTTTCTGTTCCAAACAAGGGCCTCGAGGTGAAAAAAGGATTGCAACTTTTTTGCCCAACACGGTCTGAACACACTTTCTTTCTTACACAGGAGGGTTTGCCCCAATTCTTTGCTCCATTTCCTCCCCTCGTCTTTCTTCTTTTCCCAGCCCCTCCTATCATTTGCCGGCCACGTCCTGCGAAAGCGCTGCCAGGAGAAAATGTGTTCAAAATACGTTAAAACAAAGAGATTGGAAAGAGATGTCCAGAAAACGAGATGTCAAGAGAAAGAGTTGGCTGAAGACGAGATGATCTAAAGAAAACCTTCTCAACACAGAGGTGTGCTGGCACAATTGCGTGGGCGCATTCTTTCCTTTGCCTTCAAGAACCTTGCGTCTGGAAATGCCACGCTCACCCGGCTACCGCTTGTAGCAAAGCAATTGCACCGAAAGAAGAATGAACATGATGGCGGGCATGCACAAAGATAAAGAGAGAGGTAGGAAGAACTTGGGCCCCGAGGGGCAACAGAAATGACTCGGACAAGGCGAGAGCACCCAACTCAAGACTAAAGAACTTTGGTGTCTTGTCACCCAATTTTCAAACCACCCCTTGCTCTTGCCAGCTCTTTTCTTTGACATCACTTCCGCTTCGCATTTTTTCCTTGATGACACTTTGCCCTGATTCTGGACATCACTTTCTCTTGAAATCATTTGATATCTCCGCCTCTTGACATCTCAGATGCACTTTGCAGGCCACCTTGACGCAGCAATTTGATGACGCAAAGCAACCACAGGATTGAAAACAGCAAAGAACTACACGCACACGGAAACAACGCAAAACCGTTTAAACCATCGCATTCCAATGCGCGGCAGACCTTCATCGTTTGTCTTCTATGGCGCGGTTTGTATCGAAAAAACAAGGCGTCTTTCATCTGCTATCCTTCAAAAACGCGTTTCGTAAGAGGCAGTGAAGCTTGAAGATTTGAACGCCTTCTTTCCATAACGTGAGAGTCCCAATTTTTTGAAGATAAAGCTTTCGTCCGAAGCTTCTTTCGAAACTGAAGGTTGAAGAAGTGGAGGTGATTCTAGGCAAAAGTTTTTCGGTACGATTTTCCACTTGTATTTCTTTTGTTTTCAGAATGTGACCCTAGCGGGGGTTGCTCTTTTCCACTTGTCTTTCTTTTGTTGTCAGAGATGTCAACCTAGCGGGGGTTGCTCTTTTCCAATTGTCTTTCTGTGGTTTTCAGAGATGTCAACCTAGCGGGGGTTGCTCTTTTCCACTTGTCTTTCTTTTGTTTTCAGAGATGTCAACCTAGCGGGGGTTGCTCTTTTCCACTTGTCTTTCTTTGGCTTTCAGAGATGTCAACCTAGCGGGGGTTGCTCTTTTCCACTTGTCTTTCTTTTGTTTTCAGAGATGTCAACCTAGCGGGGGTTGCTCTTTTCCACTTGTCTTCCTTTTGTTTTCAGAGATGTCAACCTAACGGGGGTTGCTCTTTTCCACTTGTCTTTCTTTCGTTTTCAGAGATGTCAACCTAGCAGTTGCTCTTTTCCACTTTCAGAGATGTCAACCTAGCGGGGGTTGCTCTTTTCCACTTGTCTTTCTTTTGTTTTCAGAGATGTCAACCTAGCGGGGGGTGCTCTTTTCCACTTGTCTTTCTTTTGTTTTCAGAGATGTCAACCTAGCGGGGGTTGCTCTTTTCCACTTGTCTCTGTGGTTTTCAGAGATGTCAACCTAGCGGGGGTTGCTCTTTTCCACTTGTCTTTCTTTGTTTTCAGAGATGTCAACCTAGCGGGGGTTGCTCTTTTCCACTTGTCTTTCTTTTGTTGTCAGAGATGTCAACCTAGCGGGTTGCTCTTTTCCACTTGTCTTTCTTTTGTTTTCAGAGATGTCAACCTAGCGGGGTTGCTCTTTTCCACTTGTCTTTCTTTCGTTTCAGAGATGTCACCTAGCTGATTCTTTTCATTTCTTTCTTGGCTTTCAGAGATGTCAACCTAGCGGGGGTTGCTCTTTTCCACTTGTCTTTCTTTTGTTTTCAGAGATGTCAACCTAGCGGGGGTTGCTCTTTTCCACTTGTGTTTCTTTTGTTTTCAGAGGTGTCAACCTAACGGGGGTTGCTCTGTTCCACTTGTCTTTCTTTTGTTTTCAGAGATGTCAACCTAGCGGGGGTTGCTCTTTTCCACTTGTCTTTCTTTCGTTTTCAGAGATGTCAACCTAGCGGGGGTTGCTCTTTTCGACTTGTCTTTCTGTGGTTTTCAGAGATGTCAACCTAGCGGGGGTTCCTCTTTTTCGCTTGTCTTTCTTTTGTTTTCAGAGATGTCAACCTAGCGGGGGTTGCTCTTTTCCACTTGTCTTTCTTTTGTTTTCAGAGATGTCAACCTAGCGGGGGTTGCCCTTTTCCACTTGTCTTTCTTTTGTTTTCAGAGATGTCAACCTAGCGGGGGTTGCTCTTTTCCACTTGTCTTTCTTTGGTTTTCAGAGATGTCAACCTAGCGGGGGGTTGCTCTTTTCCACTTGTCTTTCTTTGGCTTTCAGAGATGTCAACCTAGCGGGGGTTGCTCTTTTCCACTTGTCTTTCTTTTGTTTTCAGAGATGTCAACCTAGCGGGGGTTGCTCTTTTCCACTTGTCTTTCTTTTGTTTTCAGAGATGTCAACCTAACGGGGGTTGCTCTTTTCCACTTGTCTTTCTTTGGCTTTCAGAGATGTCAACCTAGCGGGGGTTGCTCTTTTCCACTTGTCTTTCTTTTGTTTTCAGAGTGTCAACCTAGCGGGGGTTGCTCTTTCCACTTGTCTTTCTTTGGCTTTCAGAGATGTCAACCTAGCGGGAGTTGCTCTTTTCCACTTGTCTTTCCTTTGTTTTCAGAGATGTCAACCTAGCGGGGTTGCTCTTTTCCACTTGTCTTTCTTTCTTTCAGAGATGTCAAGAGATGTCAACTCTTTTCCAGCAGAGATGGGGTTGCTCTTTTCCACTTGTCTTTCTTTGGTTTTCAGAGATGTCAACCTAGCGGGGGTTGCTCTTTTCCACTTGTCTTTCTTTTGTTTTCAGAGATGTCAACCTAGCGGGGGTTGCTCTTTTCCACTTGTCTTTCTTTTGTTTTCAGAGATGTCAACCTAGCGGGGGTTGCTCTTTTCCACTTGTCTTTCTTTTGTTTTCAGAGATGTCAACCTAGCGGGGGTTGCTCTTTTCCACTTGTCTTTCTTTTGTTTTCAGAGATGTCAACCTAGCGGGGGTTGCTCTTTTCCACTTGTGTTTCTTTTGTTTTCAGAGGTGTCAACCTAACGGGGGTTGCTCTTTTCCACTTGTCTTTCTTTTGTTTTCAGAGATGTCAACCTAGCGGGGGTTGCTCTTTTCCACTTGTCTTTCTTTGGTTTTCAGAGATGTCAACCTAGCGGGGGTTGCTCTTTTCCACTTGTCTTTCTTTGGTTTTCAGAGATGTCAACCTAGCGGGGGTTGCTCTTTTCCACTTGTCTTTCTTTTGTTTTCAGAGATGTCAACCTAGCGGGGGTTGCCCTTTTCCACTTGTCTTTCTTTTGTTTTCAGAGATGTCAACCTAGCGGGGGTTGCTCTTTTCCACTTGTCTTTCTTTGGCTTTCAGAGATGTCAACCTAGCGGGGGGTTGCTCTTTTCCACTTGTCTTTCTTTGGCTTTCAGAGATGTCAACCTAGCGGGGGTTGCTCTTTTCCACTTGTCTTTCTTTTGTTTTCAGAGATGTCAACCTAGCGGGAGGTTGCTCTTTTCCACTTGTCTTCCTTTTGTTTTCAGAGATGTCAACCGAGCGGGGGTTGCTCTTTTCCACTTGTCTTTCTTTCGTTTTCAGAGATGTCAACCTAGCGGGGGTTGCTCTTTTCCACTTGTCTTTCTTTCGTTTTCAGAGATGTCAACCTAGCGGGGGTTGCTCTTTTCCACTTGTCTTTCTTTTGTTTTCAGAGATGTCAACCGAGCGGGGGTTGCTCTTTTCCACTTGTCTTTCTTTGGTTTTCAGAGATGTCAACCGAGCGGGGGTTGCTCTTTTCCACTTGTCTTTCTTTTTGTTTTCGGAGATGTCAACCTAGCGGGGGTTGCTCTTTTCCACTTGTCTTTCTTTGGCTTTCACAGATGTCAGCCTAGCGAGCTGTGAGATGTGGGCTTGTTGTGATTGTGAGTCTGTTGGTGAAAGAAAGTGATGAGATGGTCGTCAATTGTGATAGTAGTTTGTTGGTGATAGCGTGTGGTGATTGTGAATGTCCGTAAAACGCAAGCTTATACTAAATTTCCTTTGAAAAGATCGATGTTTCTCATCTTGTTCTTGTTCTTCTTGTTGTGGTTGTGGTTGTGGTTGTCGTCGTCGTCGTCGTCTGTTCCCGATGTTATTATTGCTGCCGCTGTTGATGTGAATGCAAAGGGATTAGAGCACGCAGGCCATTGGATTGTATTTGCACAAAAAGACGGCAAAGGAACAATTGCGATACATTAAAATGCATGTGAGCATCAGTCGTAACCTCACGGACTTCTCGGTTGAAGGACTCTTGATCATAGCGGAGTTGCACCTTTTGGGCACCAGTTTCTTTGACCTTGTTCTTAATCGACAAATCCCATTTTTCCAGCCGTGCTCCAACTTCCTTAAACCTCTGAAGCTCTCGTTGCTCAAACCTTTTGAGCTCCTGCCAGCATCGACTGTCAGCTTTGGTGGGCCTCACTCCTTCTTCACTCCGGCACTCTTCTTCAGTCCGTGCTACCAGGCATTGGAACGAACGGAGGTATGCTGCGATAGTATCAGGTGTTGCCGATGATGGCTGATGCAAAACAGCCCTTCGGGCCCATTTTGGCAACTGAGGAAAAGCGGCAGGGAAGTAGGACATAGCGCAGGCAAGAGCCACGTGCCAATGAAACTTGGACTGTGCCCCTTGTTTGGCAGCAAGTACGGATGCAAACCCCAGTCTTGCGCGAAGAATTCGGCAGCTGTCTGCATCTTCATGTGCTATTCTCCACAAACATGCCAGTTCGTTCTGTGGAGGTAAGGGAAGCTGCTGTGGCCATCCCACCCAAGTCAGCGCAGTGCCGTCTGGGCTTGAACCACATGCAAGCAGTGACATGTTCACCCTGCTACTCACCCACGTCTGAAGGCCATCGCTGATTGCATTGGGTGGAGAGAACTTCTTCCGAGATATGGTAGCATAGTCGGAGAATTGGAAAGCTGCCGCTGCAGGCCGGCTGGTAATTTCCTTGAATTCGGGGGCAGCACCAAATGCCTGGGCTTCTTCGCTGGCATTCAGCAACCGCCATTCCTGCGACGCATTTTCAAGCCGCCTTTTTGGACACTCTCATTCAAAACAACGGTAGACGCTTCAAAATTCCAGCAAAACTAAATGCATGCATGCACCAAATCTCTACCCTTCTGGCAGGTACAACTAACAGCCATTTGGTATCATTTGGTGATATTTTGTGTTTGGTGTTTGGAGGCTCCAGCTGCGTCCTCGCCCAGGCCACGACGAGCAGCTGCTCGGATCCAATATTCGGCAGGATCGCCTGGTTTGCCACTCCTTGAGAAAGTCAGTTGATATTGGATGAACCGACATCAACCCTGTAGCAGTGAAATCAAAATTAAAACCACCTTGCGTTTGTGAACCACAAAGTACAGGATGTTTTGAAACCACAAAGCAGCTGCTACCGCTACGCAAACTAGCGCTGTGGCGCTAGAGTTAAAGCTGCCAGGAAACACATTCCAAGTTGCCGGACTTGATGAATCCTCAGTACCGAACGGCCTGCAATCCACAGGATGGAGGGTTCGAAAACAAAACAAATATGGAACATCTCCGCCTCAAACCAAGGTGAGTTGTGACGTGGAAGCAGATTTTTTTTGAATCAACACTACGCATTTCGCATAAAATGTTGTCCGCAGGTTCTGCCTCAAACATCCTTCTCCTTGTGCAAGGTTGGTCAAAATCCACTTCAGCTCCATTGATGCTTCGTTTTTTGCTGTCTTGGAAAGCCTAGGCAGGCAATTACATGGCAAGCCCAACATGTCAGCAGCGCTGGTTGATCTGCACCAAACATCACAAAACAAGTTCATGAGGCCAGCGCCAGTGCAACCAAGTCCATTCTTCCTGAACAGTGAAGTTGGTGCTTCTGCTGGGTAAAAATTGAACTGCAAATGACCTACCTGTGTCAAGGCTTTTACGATTGAACTCCATGACGCCTGTGTGTTACTCAAGTCCCTTTCCACTAAATCAGTTTGTTCCACAATGAGCTGCCAGCGGCCTTGTCAAAGGGCTCATTCTGCCAGCACTGACGCAGCAGCTCCAATGCTTTCCAGCGCGCAGGCCGGCCAAAGAGAGGCTCCGGTTCAGTACGGGCACAAGCCCAAAGCAAAGAAGCGACTTGCAGTCTGCCAACTGTCGTGTTCGCTTCCAACTGACCATCCTCCCAATGGATCTTGAAGAGTGAAAACTTTCGACGGGAGCCTTGGAACTGCAATCCGCAATGGAGAAAATCTTCTTGTCCACTGAAGCCGATGGTGCCCTCGGGCAGAACGACCAATCCAGCGGGCTTTGCCCAAGTTTCAGAAGCCCGATGCGTTGGGCGTGCTTCCTCAAGCAGCAAGAAGCAACGAAAGCCGCGCAACATGTCGAGTTTCTGCTTCGAAGCCAGTTGGTGGCCTGGAAAATCTGCCGACTTCAAAGCGAGTCCGTTGTCACAAAGAAGGAATTTCAGACCCATCCGAAGGAAATGCACCTCCGCAAGCTTGCCTTGAGAATCCCCAAGGTACTCTACGAATTCAGGCGGTTCGATGAAGGCCAAAACCTTCACAAGATGAGCCAGTCCAGGTTCTGAAGGAAGAAACACTTGCATCTTTGAATCTTTTGCATGTGTCAATGTGCAGGTCAGCTTTCCCTGTTTGCATCCGGCTGACACTTGAATGCTGTACTCGCGACCATCAACGTCATCCTTTGGCCGGAACCAGATCTTTCTTTCACGTTCGCAGAACCAATGGGCGTAATTCTCCACCAATTCTGTCCTGAGTCCGACTTGGGCTATGTAAGCGTTGGGCAGCAGTGTGAGGGCTGTATCTGATTGCACACTCTTCTCCTGGACCAACAGCTTTTGTCCTGGCAGCAAGCCGAAGACATACCCTTTGTTATTCACTGGGCCTGCTTCAAAAAGGTCACCCTGTTTTGCAAGAGGCCATGCGAAGAAGGCGACATCACCGAAGATGGCCTTAAATTGGGGATGTTTCCGAATTTCACGAGGCAAGCAGCCCACAGGCTTGCCGTTGAACAGCAAGAGGCCACGTGAGGGATGGATTGCCACAACACCACCTGCAGTATCTGCCAGTCGCCACATTTCCAATGGCGAGTCAGTTGGAGGCTGCCATGTGGAGACTGTGATCAGCTGTGGCAAAAACTCGGATAACAATTCATCAAGAATGTTGCTGTGTGCAAGTTGGTTCTCATGCAAGGAACAGATTTCACTAATTGTGGCCATGTCCGTCTCGTCCAAGAGGTCTCCACTGATTCCCAAACAGTGCTCCAAATCAACGCGAGCTTTAGCAAGCTCCAAAGCTTCTTCCGGACGCAAGCCATCTGCTGGTACAAGCCGAAAGGACTGTATGTAGCAAAGCAAGAGTTTGGCAAAGCGTTGCCTGACTTCTTGAGCCTCTGGAGCCTGCTGGTCTTGAGTGCGAAACCGCTGGCGCGCGTCATGAGCCCAAGATTTCAGCACCTGACGGCAGATTTGGATGGCCTTTTCTGCTGGATGGCTTCCGTTTTCTCCAAACTGTGCCAGATAATTGCAGCAAATCATCAAAGAAGTCAAGGCCTCTATGGATCCACGTTCAGCCTCTAGAGCTTGAAACTGCTCAGACAAAGCCAACACACTAGGCCAATCCGCAAGTTCCAAGAGATCTTCTTTGCAGCAACGACCTAAGAAACACTTCTCAACATCTGCTGGGCCCATTCGGTAAAGCACCTGTTGGCACAATACCTTCACTCGTGGATCTTCAATGGGAAGCTCTCCTTGCTGCAAGGCTGGTAAAAGCTTGCGAAGGTGTAGGTGTGGCAAGCTGGCAACGAAACCCAACGACCTGAACTGCGCCTTGCTCATGTTCTTGAAAGGTGAAGGCAAATACATCTGGGCCAAGACCTCATTCTCAGATGGCAAGCCCAAAATCCATTCTTCACTCACCTGACTCTCGTCTGGAAATTCCATTCGATAGAGCTCTGGTGGTTCGCCTGGCTTCGGCCAGCTCGTTTGAAATGGGTTCAACAGCACGCCTTGCCAACGCCATAACAAATGAAGTCCTTCCAACTCATAGTCAGGGTGGTAGAAGCCAATGCTCTGCTTCAGGGGATGGAAGTAATTTTCTTGTTGCTTTCCATCGCGGTATGTGGGATTGCAATCGGCAAAGAGCTCGAAGCGTGGGGCCGCCTGGAGATTTGGCACTCTCATCCTGGAAAATTCAAAGAAATGGCTGTGCCACGAGAATGCTGGCGGTTGCGAAACTTCACAGGGATGGCCAGCATCAAAATCCAACAAGTGGCGGGCCAAACAAAAGGAAGAACCCAGAAGCGACAACTCTTCAGGAAGATGAGTGGAAAAGATAATCGCTTTGGCTTCTGCTTCAAAGTCCGACATCTTGGGGAGAGGCTCTACGATTGCTGGCAATGGGCGCTGTAGTGACCTTTCCTCCGTTTGCCGCTGGCGTTTTGACCCGCTTTGCTCCTGAACAAGGTTTCGTTTCAAGGTTTGTGAAGTCTTTCGGCGCTTCCAAGGTTGTTGATGATCTGATTGATCCGATATCTGCAGAAGCTGTTTATCCTGTTCTATCGCAAGTGCAAGACTGTTGGCCCATTCATCCTTTTGGTCAGACCGGTCTTGCCATTCCCTCTCTGCATGCTGTGCCTTCTCCCGAGCTTCTGTCCATGCTCTCCTGACCTCTGGCAAATATGATGTTGCAGCTGCAGCCAATGCCAAGAAATCTCCCAAGCCTTCCCTCCCTGGCACAAGCAGCTGATGTTTGAGATTTGAGTTGCTTTTCAAGTAGATTTCCACCCTGTGCCCCAATCTCATCCATCTCTTCTCCGGAATCAGCAAGTGCTCCAAAGTATGTGCTGCAAGCGGGGGAGCAAAATCTTTCAAAACGTGTCGGAAAGCATCACCTCTGTGTTTGCGAAGGAATGCATCTTGCAAGCATGCCATGGTCCAAGCCACCAATAGAATGCGAGAATGTCGCAAAGCTGTCCATGGCTGATTCGGCTTTTCACACACTGCGACATAAGCCTCCAGAGTGCCAAAAAGCTTGGTGCACACAGCAGTTGCCTCGCTTGAATTGGTAATGTAAGCCACGGGCCAATCTAGAAGCGAATCCCCCGACATCGCAATGTCCAAGACCTTCTCTTCAAACAGCAAAACGACACGAAAATGATTCTCATCATCAGCTGCTTCCATCCATGACTTCACTGCATCCAGCCACTCCAACAAGTCGTTGTCCAGCAGATCTGGACACCGGGACGACTGAGGGTGGAGAATGACATCTGGCCTTTCAGAGTTTGCTGGTGCAAGCAGGGCCATGTCGACCTTTTGCAGGAATTGAGAAATGGATGCCGGCATTGGAATGGTTCCGTCTATGGTTCCATGCTGTTGGAGGTGTTGGAGCGCAGCCTGCAAATCCGAAGAGTCGTCCCTTGACTCCTGCAGGAAAGCCAGAACGCCTTCCTTGGACATCTTGGATCGAAGCAGGTGCAGCTCAGACGTCACCATCATGGCAAAGCTATGGTTGCCATGGTTTTCCAGGTCTTGTCTGGATACAATTTTGCAAAGCTTCCGGGCAACACCCTGCATGGTCTCCAGCAAGCGATCATAGAGCCCTTCCATTTTGAGGCAATGACGTGGGTGACTTTGCGCAAACCTCTCCAGATGCAACTTCCCATGGCCGAAGCAGGATGGAAGCACTTGATATCCCCATAGCCTGCTGGCTTCCACCACACGCTTTGCATCTGGTTTTGGAAGAAATTCAAACAAACAGCCAAGCACAGGTTGGGGTAAGGATGCCAAGCCATTTGGGTTCTGAAAATAACCTGTGAGGTTGCGAAGAGTGCACAGCTGGAAAAACACCATCAAGCGTTTGGATACAACATGCGGAAGTCCAAGTGCATGCACAACCAAGGCATGAAGACCAAAGCGCACATGTCCATAGGGATTGTTTTCAATCATCTTTCGATGTGAAGTGATGTCACAAGGCCGACCTTTCAGATATGGCACCAAAAAGTCGTAGAAGAAACCTTCATCCTCTGCCTTGTTGGCTGGATTGATGCGATTTGGTTTTGGTGGTGGGTAAGATTTTGTTGCAAGGAGACTGAGCCAATAGACTGCCTCTGGCAAGAGGAATGTCGATCTTTGAACCCATCTGGCTGGATGGCACGGGACTTGTGCAAACTGTCTCATCTCCACAGGTTTCTTCAACCCGCCACCTTCCAAGACTTTCTTTCCGGAACTGCCAAACTTGCATGTCCCTCTCACGCTGACCACAACCATGCCCAGCTCGTCCGCGTCTTCCCCAGGGTAAACAAAGAGCAAGGCATCAAATGCCATGGGTAAAATTAAAATGCATCCAGACTTCACAGTCCTTGGGAAGACGATAGTGCACAGCAAATCTAACCGCGTAATCTCAATAACAAAACCCTCAGTCACAAATAAAATGATCCGAATATGATTCGTGAAGCTGATTTCCTGCATTTTGCCGTTTTCCCAAACTTTGTGCGCGGTTTAAAGCAGCCAAGGCTCTGAAGAATGTGCTTCGCCATAGCATCAGCCCCACCAGCTTCTTGAAGATCAACGGCGCAACTCCAAGAAGCCAGTGCTTTCAGCAACCTCGGCATCTGCAAACTCCGGTGGAGGAAAGAGAAGTTCATCACTGAAAGTTGTTTGATGCATAACAACAACCATTTTTTTCCGACAACTCTGCATCAAAGGAGCTGGTCACTAGCTTCTCCAGTCAAGCCAAGAGTTTCCTGACAAGAATTCAGGCGAGCAAATTTGGAATGGTCTAAAAAACTTTTCTCACGCAATGACTCTTTTCACATCAAACTGTCAAATCTTGGCAAAACCTGTCCTTCAGGTCGCGATCTGCCGATTGAATGCACTCCTTGAAGCCTTTCAAAATTTGTTGGATGCCACATCTGTCAGAGGATTCCCTCAGATGTAGCAGTCGCCCAGCAAAATGGTGCCCAGCCATGGCACGGAGCTGTCACTAAGATCAGCCTATCTTACTCCATGTCTATCTGTCGATTAAGACCCTGTGGAATGAGAGCCATGATGACGTTTCTGACGATTCTTGGGAGTTTCCCCAAACTTAGATGCTGAGGATTTCGTTAGTTGCTCGGATCCAAATACCGCATGCATCTAAAACCCTGCCGGCTAGGAGCCCGAAGCACAGTGCACAGCATGGCCAAGACAAACTACAAGAAAAGTTCTCGAGGTTCAGACACGGCCGCCATGGCAAACTGTTCTTGGTCAGTTGGACCTGTCTCACTTCTTTGGAATGACCATTCTGGCTGCAAACCTGGGCACAATAGGCGCAACTTTTTATCTGCATTCGCGAGCTCAAGCATCATCAGCATCCTTCCGGCCAACAAGAATGTAGGACAAGACTTGCGGGATCTTTGGATTAAACGGCAAGCGACAGAACCCACATTCACATCATTTCACACCTGCTCCAAGAACCAAGAACCAAACACATAAATTGTCAACGGTTCCTTTGTCAGACACCAAATTTGATGAACGTCTGCCAAATCCAGTGCAAAGGTCCTTGGCAACCATCTCGCAGCCGTCCTCGTTTCCACGCAAAATAGGTTCCTGCAAAAGAGTGGGCATATGCCGCCAAGACAACGCTCGAGGAACCCTTTTTGGAAAATCGAAAGCTGCACTGCACAAAAATCAAAAACATTTCCTCATATTTGCATCTTTCGTTTTTCCTCCTTCCTTTTCAGGAATGTTGCTACCATAGGCTAGATCCAAGCTGTCTCCAAAGGGTAAACGCGACAGCAACTACCGGATAAAACAGTAGTTACAAAGAGGGAGAACACTGGGAGACCAGATGACAGCAGCAGGCAAGAGAACCCTCAGTTCCAGTACTGCCATGTACTGCCCTTCGTGCAAAAAAAGGGCAGCTTCTACCGCTGCAGCTCAGCGGCTCAACTCAGTAAACTTCCCTACGCATGTCACCCAGCCTGGTTAGGTTCTTCCCAGCACACAGCAAGTCCTGGAACCAGTTCATTCCGCAGCATGAGCACTTTTGAACATCGGCATGTCGGGCTGCAAAAACACATGTGAATATTGGAAATCCTTAATCCCTCAGTCCTCAGAAAAAAAATGATTCAAGACCACTTCGTTGTCCTGGCCAGAGATCACTTGGGCTGAGGCTCAATGCTTCAGATTCAACAGAGATGGAACTTCCAACAAAAAACACATCATACAAATCTGGATGTAACATGATTCAATGGGATTTTCTAACATTTTCAAACACATCAAATCCCATAGAATCACATTTTTCGCTTTTGATTCTATGGTATTCTCCTTCACAGCGTGGTCACTGCCGAGGTCACGCCCCAAAGCGCTGCGCCGGCCAGGCTCGTGCGTGTGCGTTTTTTTTGCGAAGCTGCCGCGCTGTCGTCGTCAACGATCATGACCCGCACATATTCATGTTGCAATGCAACGCCACGCGACGCTTTGCGTTTCAAAGGTCGCACTTGAAACTGCACGCTTCACACTCCACACTTCAGACTCCACACTTCACACATCATCTCATCTCATCTGAACTCTTCTTATCTCATCTAAGCTCCTCTCATCTCTTCTCATATATCATCTAAGTTAGCCTCAACCTTTTCATCTCATCTGAGCACTGCTCAACCTTTCTCATCTCATCGAAGCTCTTCTTGACTCATCTCAGCTCCTCAGTGCGTCAGAAAACTGTGACCCTCAGAGAGAAGCTCTTAAACATGCACGAAAACTTTCGCACAGGGAAACTTCTGCACACAGAAGTTATTAGACACAGGTGTTTTTACGCCGAAAGATTTTTGCACAGAGAAAAAATTACGCATGGGAAACTTTTTCACGGGGAAACTTGTCCAAACAGACAGCTTCTACACAGAGAAACTCTTACACAGAGAAATTTTCACAAACAGAAACTTTTACACACGGCAAGCTTTTACACACATATTTTTTCCACACAGCACGCATTTACACAGAGACGACTTTGCACACAGCAGGCTTTTATGCACAGAATCTTTTTACACAAAGACCTTTTTAACACACAAACTTTTACACACAGATGTTTTTTTCGCATAGAAACTTTTACACAAAATTTTTTGGTACACACATTTTTTTTTACACACAACCAACTCTCACAAAAAAAAGCACACAGCAAACTTTTGCACACAGAAAAAAATTACGCAGAGAAGCTTTTACACAAAGAGACTTTACACACAGAAACTTTAACATTTTACACAGAGACGCTCTTATACACATGTGTGTATGTAGTGTTATGTATATAATGTGAAGTAGGTGTTTTCTGTACGTGCTGTTGTGTATGCGTTGTTGTGCATGTATCATTCTACATGTATTGTGAAGTATGTCTTATTATGTATGTATTGTTATGTATGTATTGTTGTGTATATATTGTGAAGTATGTATCGTTGAGTATGTATCGTTGAGTATGTATTGTTCTGTATGTATTGTTAAGTAGGTATGCTGATGTATGTGCCGTTGTGTATGTATTGTTCTGTATGGATTGTTGTGTACTATGTTTATGGGGGTTTTGTTATGAATGCATTGTTTTGTATGTATTGTTGTGTATCTATTGTTGTGTATGCAGTGTTGTGTATGTATTGTTTTGCAGGTATTGTGAAGTATGTCTTGTTATGTATGTGTTGTTGCATATGTATTGTGAACTGTGTTTGATCATGTATTCGTATGAATTGTTGTGTGTATTGTTGTGTATTGATATTTAGGTAAAGTTATGTATGTACCATTGTGTATGTATTGTTTTGCATGGATTGTTGTGTATGTATTTTTGTTTTTGTGTTGTTATGGGGTTTCTGTTATGTATGCATTGTTTTGTATGTATTGTTATGTATGTTTTGTTACTGCATTACACTTTGGCCGGGACTCGGAAGATTGCTTCCCAACTTCCTTTAGTTAAGTGTCTCTGTCATCAGGCATGCTACTTTCAACATCTTTCAATTCAACATCTTCGGAACCTGCAGAGTAGCATGCAAATACCTGCAGAAGTGCTACTCAGCACTTCCGAAGGACAAGACTTCCAGCGCCGCGCTGCCAGATCATATCCTGCATCAGACGAGATAAGCCGGCTAGGCACAGTCCTCACATCCCTTTCGAAGCAACAGAAAATCTCGATATTAGGTATTATTAGGTTATGTGCAACCTGATCCTTTAATTCAACATCCAACAAAGGTTTGGTGAACCAAGTGACTCAACCAGCAAGCTGATACCTTCACCTCCATGGTGTCATGCTTCGTGGTTTCAACATGAGTGCCTGCAAGATATGCAGGTGTCCTCCAGGATTTCAGGAGAGATTACGCATCTATGCACATCTGTATTTGGAGATGCCAAAATATACAGTATTTTGTAACTGCTCTGTTTAGTGGCCAACACTATTTCTTTGGACCGAAGGTATCCAGCAAAACTAATTTTCGATATACCCTGCAACCCCATCCCATCAGATTTTTTTCCAGTGACTTTCTCTTGCCGGCCCGCAACTTTGGCGAACAAAGCTGGGCAACATCCTCATGAGGACCTCTTTATTCATTAAATTTCATTATATACAGCAATGTATCTACAGAAGTTGCTTGTTTTACTGGAGACAACTTAGAGACAACCAAGAGACAACCGAGGGACAAGCGGGAGACAGCCGGGAGACTGCCGAGAGGACATTTCGGCAGGGTGCTGGAGCCTGTGGAGGAGCTTGGCACTGCACCTGCTGACAACTGATCTGTCACCAAAGCTAGGAGGGTCCTGGACTCTTTGAAAGTGGATCTTCCTGCATGTTTTACTCATCTGGGAGAAAAGATGGGTGCAGAAATGCACGTATTGTCACTTTGATTGTCCACCCCTACGGTAGACCAAAGACACTTTTGTGAGCAAGCATGGACATAGGAGAAACTGCATCTAGTCATCCTGCTGTGAACGACAGAAAGGGCAGCTTTCCCGGCCACCGTGCGCTTGATCAGCGAGAGTTCAGAGATCTTTGCCAGTTGAAGCAGGTCATCCGTCCAAGACGAGAAGTCTAAAGATATACTGACTGACAGTGATGCAGTGATGCAGATTGACAATTTTGCGGCCCCATATGGAAGATAAGGTCAGCAAAGGGGAATTGTCAAGTTGTCAACTTGGAAACCACATGGCGTCTCTGCAGGTCTGGGAAACTGCTTGCACTCGTGTGGTTAGAAGCTCTGTTTGTATCCTTTGATACATTAGATAGGTACGGCGTGTCTTCAGTTTCCAACAACCTCGTGTAGTTCATTAATGAACAAGCTGTGATCCCAGCGCGCAGCTCACAAGCAAGCTACCTGTTGCATCAGCCGAGCTCCGTGAAAAGGTCTCATGGTGAAAACTTCGCATGGTGGAAACGTCCAAATCCAGGCTTGACCCAAGTGAATGCGACAGGTTCTCATTTGCTTTGGACATCTACCTTATGACAAAACACGGCTTACCGTCCAAAGAGCCTGATTACTTGGGATGCGAAATTCTGCATGGTTGATTTTACCAACTACGAGCTGTCTGCCCAACTTGACGCTTTGCACGTGCAGCTTTTCAATGGAAAGGAAGACAGCCAAAGGCCTGGGTCGCATCCGTTCCCTTTGGTAAAATTTTTTGAAGGACTTCAAATCTTAGACCTTGTAATATGAAGCGCCACGGCAACCAATTTTTCTACAGCGCAAACTCAGGCATTTCGGTCCTTGTCGTCTTTGGCTGGGGTATGTACCATTTTTGACCTTTGACTTTTGGACTTTGAGACATGAGAGTTCTTATGGGGTACGATCGACGATCGCCCTTGTCGACTAGTCACACTACCTAGTCTACTTGGAAATTTATGTTTGATGCGGCTCTTTGGGAATTCGGAACCTAAACCTACCCCCTGTCGAATTTCCACTTTTTTTGGCTTGGAAAACCTGGGATAGTGATCCAGTCTCTGGGATGGAATTGCAAAGTAACATTTCTTAACAAGCCTTGGGCACTGGTTAGAAAATACTTCTGGAGCTAAGCGCACGTATTTAATTTTCACCTACTTGCCAATGACATGGAATGATGAGGAATACTGATCATTGATTGAGAAAACATGATTGCAAAAATGGAATTTTTTAAATGAAATTTCAGTACGACCGCCCTCAAATTCCATTTTTAAGAGGGTAGGGATCAAAGGTGCGGCAGTATTTAATATCTCCTCCATCCCATCATCCCCTTTCTCCCTCTTGACTTCTACGGCGCTCTCAAAATGATAAGTGCCTGTAACCGGCATCCAAAGAAACAAAAAGCCTTTACGGCCACCAACTTGCCGAACCTACTCCAGCCACGGCAAGCTTGCCGCTGCTCAAAGCAATCAGATCCAAACGTTTTCATAGTTTCCTCCACTTGCCGTTGACATTCCAGGACCCTGTTACAGCAACGCAGGTGCGGGCTTCAGTCACAGAAAGCGTGCGCCAAGTTGCTCTGATACCGCTGCGAATCGTCAACTTGATGATCCCCGCTGAAACTGTACATTGAACAAACGGTACAATTTTAGGCAATTTATGTCCTTCAAACAAAACAGCTCCAGACCAAACGGCAGTGCCATGAGGCAACGCCTTACATGTTCACCTTCTTGAAGAGTTTTTGCCACGAAGGTTGTTTGATGGATGGCATTGACACGAGGCTCAAGGGGCACACCAGCACAAACAAGAGTTTGGGCAAGGAGTTTGTGCAGCTCAGCGCCCAGTCGAAAGACTGGAAGGAGCAGTTCTTGCACTTGCGCCACGCTGTGCTTTCGTTGGCATACACATCCGACAAGGCTTTTCATGAACTGGATGTCAAGAGACTCCTAGGTAAAGAGCTGGCCCCACGCAGTGCCAAAGCTCAAGACTTGATGATCAAGTTTCGAGGTGCTGGACACGGAGAAACTTTGCGACTCCAGCTCAGCCATTGAAAATTTGTTTCATCAGTTTCAAGATCACTTGGTTCTGGAATGCTTGGACAAGATGAAAGATGAGGCCCCCGTTCTGACATCTCCTTCTGCTGCTTGACAAGCGTTCCTACCACGGATTACTGTGATAGCTTTGATTATGTAAGGTGAGACTAAAACAAATGTGTAACCAGCAAAGAGATATACAGAAGGGAGTCTCTGGCTTGCACATTGGTGGATGAGAAGAGAAACACTGGCAGAAGCGAATCACGGCTGAGTTCGATGGCCAGAACACTGCCACCTCAAAGTTGCAGGCCGGTTGCAGGCCGTGGTTTCTGCAAGCTCATCTGGGCACTCAGTGCATCTTGCCTTTGTGGATCTTGAGGTGCCTTAAGACTTGTCCGTCTCTATGATCATCGTCTCAGCGGTTGCATGTAAACCACACTTCAACACTTGAAAACAACACCTTCAAGTCATTAGCTTGGTGACTGCCCCTGAAAAGGCTAACTGGTTTGGAGGCCCCAAAAGCACTTGTGCACAGTGCACTGCTCGCATGCACTGCAAACGGATAGTCTCTTGCCTCGTTGAAACAAAGCTGTTAAACTGGTAAACCAAGAGAATGGCGCGCGATATCCCACTGATGGGCAGCTGTGGAAAAATCTGACTGTTTTATAACATCTGGCAGGCCACAAATCAGGAGCAAAGTGTGAGGAGACGAAGCCGCAGCCCGCACGATTTCGAATTTCTTGACCGGCGCCGCCGAATGTTCGCCGGAAGAGGTCGAAGACGAAAAACCAGATGCAGACAAAATGCCGGGCAGAGAAGTGGACACAAGCTGGGTGGACATGACCACGGTGCAACGCCTCACAGCCGGAGAAGGGTTTCAGTACTCGAAACGGTCGGCCCAGACCGTCCAAAGCCTCGTGCAAGATTGGACAACCCACCAGGCAATGGAGTACCGGTACGTACACGCTGTGGAAACACATTTTTGCCTGAAATGTCGGATGCAGGCCTGCTCGAGTAAAAGCTCCGACTTCAGCTGCGCTTGTTGGAGGATTTTGTGGATTTTCTGCCCAATTTTAAGCTGACCACGGACTGGAATAGCCGTGTCTACCTTTGAGGTCTCTCCACAATACAAGCAGGTGTCCTGGCCTGTTCAAGTGTCTTCATGCTGGGCCAGCAGGCAGTCTTCTGAACTCCAAGCAAAAAGCCTCCAAGCTTCAAAGCTTGCCTAAGCACGGCCCAATATGCCCAATACTCAGTTCGAATCAATTGCCTCCAGATACGAGTCCAAGCAGTACAAGCACTGTGGTGGGAGTTCTTCCTGAACGCAACTCTTGCCTTTGTGGATCTTGAGGTGCCTTAAGACCTGTTTGTCTCTATGATCATCGTCTCAGCAGTTGCATGTAAAACAACCTTCAACACTTGAAAACAACACCTTCAAGTCATTAGCTTGGTGACTGCCCCCCTCCGCTACACGGGTGGAATGCTGAAAAGGCTAACTGGTTTGGAGGCCCCCAAAGCACTTGTGCACAGTGCACTGCTCTCATGCACTGCAAACGGATAGTCTCTTGCCTCGTTGAAACAATGCTGTTAAACTGGTAAACCAAAAGAATGGCACGCGATATCCCATGATGGGCAGCTGTGGAAAAGTCTGAAGTGTGAGGAGACGAAGCCGCATGGAGTACCGGTACGTACACCCTGTGGAAACACATGTTTGCCTGAAATGTCGGATGCAGGCCAGCTCGAGTAAAAGCTCCGGCTTCAGCTACGTTTGTTGGAGGATTTTGTGGATTTTCTGCCCAATTTTAAGCTGACCACGGACTGGAATAGCCGTGTCTACCTTTGAGGTCTCTCCACAATACAAGCAGGTGTCCTGGCCTGTTCAAATGTCTTCATGCTGGGCCAGCAGGCAGTCTTCTGAACTCCAAGCAAAAAGCCTCCAAGCTTCAAAGCTTGCCTAAGCACGGCCCAATATGCCCAATACTCAGTTCGAATCAATTGCCTCCAGATACGAGTCCAAGCAGTACAAGCACTGTGGTGGGAGTTCTTCCTGAACGCAGCTCTTGCCTTTGTGGATCTTGAGGTGCCTTAAGACGCTTGTCTCTATGATCATCGTCTCAGCAGTTGCATGTAAACCACCCTTCAACACTTGAAAACAACACCTTCA